ATATCAACTTATAGTTATCTGGAAAAAAAATTAATCCTGGTCAATTATATATTACATTTTCTAGAATCAAAAGCAAATAATTAAAAATCTTTTGAATACAACCACAAATATTATATTTAAAAAAAAAATTAAATCATCTAATAAATACACAATACACATATCTAAATCTAACTTCTATATAATTTTCTTAATATTTTCTCTTATTTCATTTGATATTCCTAACTTAATTTTTTCTTGCAGGTTCATGTTCATTTAACTTTCTTATTATGTATCATGAAGATGTTGCCTTTTGAATTTTCAATTGCATATTTATTATTACTTGTCATTTCTTCAATTAACTTATTAGAGTGTACACAATTGCAATCAATTAATTTATTAGGTATTCTGGCGTGGGACCCGGCTTGACCGGGAAGGTCCAGCCCACATACACTTGGGAGAAGGCCCAAAGGAGCCATCCTCATCTGTGTCGAGCACAAGACTCCTGTCGATCAGACACTGCCCCCGTCGGGCAGAACCTTCCCTCCGTCGGCCAGACACTGCCCCCGTCGGGCAGAACCTTCCTTATCTGTGTCGAGCACAAGACTGCCTGTCGACCAGACACTGCCCCCGTCGGGCAGAACCTTCCCTCCGCGGGCTGGACCTTACACTCCGCGGGCTGGACTTTACCCCTCCGCGGGCAGGACTTTACCCTCCGCGGGCAGGACCTTACCCTCCGCGGGCAGGACCTTCTCCCCCTCCGCGGGCAGGACCTTACCCCTCTGCGAGCAGGACCTTACCCTTCATGGGCCGGACCTTACCCCTCCGCGGGCAGGACCTTACCCCCTGCGAGGAAGACCTGTCCCAACTACGTCGGGTAGGAGACTCCCCTCTCCACCAAAAACTGCTTTCCGCGGGAACACGTCACCAGCCAACTGCACACCTCCGAAAGAGCAGGTCAAATCCACTTTCCGGAGATCACGGGACAGTTGGACTAGGGGGAAGACCACGTCCTGATCTTCACTACGCCACGTAAGCCCTAGCAGTCACTTGGGTTGGGCCTGGAAATCCAGCCCAACACAAGTGATCGTTGCCCCAGCGCTGGGGTCTCTCTATAAATACCCTCTTTCGCAAGAGGGTCAGGGAATTTACTTCTTACCCATTTTCTGTGCTTGTGACCACTCCGCCCATATACTTACTTTGACATCGGAGTGCCTTGCAGGTACACCCCCTCCTTCTCCTCATCACCGGTGAACAGACAACAGTCCAACAGGGTGTGGTCAGCCCGTGATCCCCTTCTGATCAGGTCAGATCAGTGGCGCCGTCTGTGGGAAACTAAGTTTCCCCGTTCCTCCGAGCAGAGAACCAAAGCTTCATATCTCAACTTCAGGATCAGGACTAGCCCGCGCCATGACGACGCTGTTCACAACTCCGACCACGTCCCCGTCACCAACGACGATAGTCAGGTGGGGACATATCAACTCCGCGAAGAGGGGCAGGACCCTCGCTGCCAACCAGCCAGCCCTTGCCCTCTCCTTCGTCGGGCAGGACCTTGGCTGCCAACCAGCCAGCATTTGTCTTCTCCTCGTCGAGCAGGACCTTGGCTGCCAACCAGCCAGCCTTTGTCCTCTCCCTCGTCGAGCAGAAGCTTTGTCGAGCAGGGCCTTGGCTGCCAACCTGCCAGCCCTTGCCTCTCCCTTGTCGGGCAGAAGCTCTGTCGAGCAGGACCTTGGCTGCCAACCAGCCAGCCCTTGCCCCTCCTTCGTCGATCAGAAGACCCGTCGGGCAGGACCTTGGCTACCAACCAGCCAGCCCTTGCCCCTCCTTTGTCAGGCAGAAGACCCGTCGGGCAGGACCCTGGTTGCCAACCAGCCAGCCTTTGTCCTCTCCTTCGTCGAGCAGAGCCCTGTCTTCACGGGGCAAGACGGAGCACAGGGCCTACTACCTCAAAAACCTACACGGGGATCAACTAGCTCGACCATGGAACGCTGAGAAGCTGAAAAGCTACTACAGTTAAACACTGCCCGCGACGCCCAGGCGTCGCGACCACAGGGGGGCGACATGCTACCACTGCACCTCCTCGCGTCTCCTAGAGACCAACAAAACAGCAAGCCCTGCCTTTGTGTGCGCGGACAGAAGGCTCTGCTCGACGGAGAATCCCTCGATTGAGACTCCCCGTCGTTGTACCAGAATCGGCAGGACACCCAGCTCGCGATGGGACGTTCACGCCGTGGGGATAAACTACCCCCGAAACGGCCAGGTAACGAAACCGGTCAACCGGCCAGTTCTCCACACTACCGGAAACAATTATCGTCGAGTTACCACCCCGGACAGGCGCAAAGGCATAACAAACATGCATTTCAAACATACAAACATATATTTCGAGCATACAAAAATGCAGAAATAAAACGAGCATAACACCATGCAGAAACAAGAGAAAGTGCAACTTAAACAAAATTCCATAATACGGGCACAAGCCCAGAAGTCAAAATGTTACAATAAACGGGCACAACCCCCAGCTGTCGAGCAGGACCTTGGTTGCCAACCAGCCAACCCTTGCCCTCTCCTTCGTCGGGCAGAAGCTCTGTCGAGCAGGACCTTGGCTGCCAACCAGCCAGCCTTTGTCCTCTCCTTCGTCGAGCAGGACCTTGGCTGCCAATCAGCCAACCTTTGTCCTCTCCTTTGCCCTCTTCTTCGTCGAGCAGAACCTTGGCTGCCAACCAGCCAACCTTTGTCCTCTCCTTCGTCGAGCAGAAGCTCTGTCGAGCAAGACCTTGGCTGCCAACCAGCCAGCCCTTACCCTCTCCTTCGTCGGGCAGAAGCTCTGTCGAGCAGGACCTTGGGTGCCAACCAGCCAGCCTTTGTCCTCTCCTTCGTCGAGTAGGACCTTGGCTGCCAATCACCCAACCTTTGTCCTCTCCTTTGTCCTCTCCTTCGTCGAGCAGGACCTTGGCTGCCAACCAGCCAACCTTTGTCCTTTCCTTCGTCGAGCAGGACCTTGGCTGCCAACCAGCCAGCCCCTGCCCTCTCCTTCATCGGGCGGGACCTTGGCTGCCAAACAGCCAACCTTTGTCCTTTCCTTCGTCGAGCAGGACCTTGACTGCCAACCAGCCAACCTTTGTCCTCTCCTTTGTCGAGCAGGACCTTGGCTGCCAACCAACCAGCCCTTGCCCTCTCCTTCGTCGGGCAGGACCTTGGCTGTCAAACAGCCAACCTTTATCCTCTCCTTCGTCGAGCAGGACATTGGCTGCCAACCAGCCAGCCTTTGTCCTCTCCTTCGTCAAGCAGAAGCTCTGTCGAGCAGGACCTTAGCCGCCTAAGCGCAGCATTATCAAGTCCTCGCTCCCTTGCCTCGGAGCTACGACTTGGGGGGCTCCTGTTCTGTCCTGGGGCCCGGCCTGACCGGGAAGGCCCAGCCCACATACACTTGGGAGAAGGCCCAAAGGAGCCATCCTCATCTGTGTCGAGCACAAGACTCCCGTCGACCAGACACTACCCCCGTCGGGCAGAACCTTCCCTCCGTCGGCCAGACACTGCTACCGTCGGGCAGAACCTTCCCTCCGTCGGCCAGACACTGCCCTAGTCGGGCAGAACCTTCCTCATCTGTGTCGAGCACAAGACTGCCTGTCGACCAGACACTGCCCCCGTCAGGCAGAACCTTTCCTCCGTCGGTCAGACACTGCCCCCGTCGGGCAGAACCTTCCCTCCGCGGGCAGGACCTTACCCTCCGCGGGCAGGACTTTACCCCTCCGCGGGCAGGACCTTACCCTCCGCGGGCAGGACCTTACCCCTCCACGGGCAGGACCTGCCCCAACTACGTCGGGCAGGAGACTCCCCTCTCGACCAAAAACTGCCCTCCGCAGGCAAGACCTGCCCCCGCAGGCAGAACCCGCACCTGATCGAGCAGGACAACGTGTCTTTTACACGTTTTCCACGTGTACCCCTCCGCGGGGACACTTCACGAGTCAACTGCCCACCTCCGAAAGAGTAGGTCAAACCCACTTTCCGGAGATCACAGAACTGTTGGACTAGGGCGAAGACCACGTCCTGGTCTTCACTACGCCACGTAAGCCCTAACAGTCACCTAGGTTGGGTCTGGCAATCCAGCCCAACGCAAGTGACTGTTGGCCCAGCGCTGGGGTCTCCCTATAAATACTCTCTTTCGCAAGAGGGTCAAGGAATTCACTTCTTACCCCTTTTTTGTGCTTGTGACCACTCCGCCCATATACTTTGGCGTCGAAGTGCCTTGCAGGTACACCCCCTCCTTCTCCTTATCACCGGTGAACAGGCAGCAGTCCAACAAGGTGTGGCCAGTCCGTGATCCCCTTCTGATCAAGTCAGATCATTAGGGTATACACAATCTTGCAATTATTTATCTTAATTTATTATGTTCATCACATTGCATATCAAACAACAATACTGCACAAAAATTATCTACCTATAATGTTACTAGTAATGATCATTATATTGCATATCAAACAACAATACTAGACAAAAATCTATCTACCTATAATGTTACTAGTTATAACAAAAACTTTCGCCACCGTGTCACAACTCAAACACAAAAAACAGATGATAGAAAACGCATAAAGGAAGCATCGAGTTGGGTTGAGATGGAGATCTAATGCACAATTTTTATTAGTTATAAGGAAATTTAACAATGTATAATTTTGAACCTACAATTCAGGTCACAGCTTACAAGTGAATAACCATACTCGTTCCAGTAAATAAAGAAAAACTTACTTGTTCAATTATATAACATTATATCTAGTGGTTGTGGTAGATGGATGGTGTTATCATCCATAGAGAAGCAGCGTAAAGACCATTAAACTTGACTAACAACAACTAACAAATCTACTTGCCTGCCTAACTCTTGACTAACTACTAACACTTGAAGGATATTTACTTACAAAAACAGTAACAGTAAGCAGGAAACAAATCCATAGACAAAAGAGAGGATGGGGAAATTACTAATAAAAATAATCTTGACAGACATTCTGCTGAGGACATCCCACTCATATTTGTTAGCTTGACAGTTCAAGACCTGGGATGGATGTTGGCTGAAGATTTGATTTGGTGGGACCGGAAGACTGCTTCTGGGGCCTAGGCCTTTCTTCTCCCTGCAAAGGAACCTGCTTCTCAGACCCACAATTTGCTCCTTCCAACTCAAGTTCTGGCTTTCTCTTCAGCTTCTTTGTCAAAATGCCATCAGCAACACGGAAATCGTCCAGGGAACTGCTTGAACTTCCCTTTGTTTTTTCTGGCTTTACACCATTCGTAAGACTGGGGACCTGGACAGCGGTGCTCATATTAGACAAGGGCTTGTTTGTTGTAGTAAAAGCATGACTGGTTGATTCTGGAGCTAATTTCTCTTGTTGGTTCTGCTGTGATGTAATTGAGCCAGTATCTAGTTGAACGCTATCCTCTTGCCTCGATGCCAGCAACTTCTTCCTCTTAATTTTTTCCTGATCCTAGTAACACAAGTAAACCAATGAGAACAACTTACAAACAATTTTGCCTTTACAAATACCAGATCCTGGTTATCATCTGGGCATAAAAAGAGTCAAATGTTATTCTTCCATTGTTAATTAGGTTTACAATGTTTTTCGCTATCTTATTGACAAAACATAATATTGAAATAAATTTTATATTTTTAAAAACCAAGATAATTTAACTCCTTTGTAATGATATATGTTGCCGTGCACAAAGTAGAGTTTGTGAAGCAAGACTAAAATTGAAACAAACAATGGTGGCACCCTGGGGAAAGGTTTATACAATTTCCCAAACAGAGGGGAAGGTCTGGCTAAAAACTTATTTTACAAACATTCCCCAATAGGTATGATCTTATGATCCAAGTATCAATTCACTCACTACTTGGACCATCATATGATCTTAGGTAAGCCATGCTACTTTGAATACCTGCCATATAGATAAGCATACTCAAGAGCCAAGACAATTGTCGGGAAAAACTCTTTTCAACTTTTAAAAAAAATTTGGAGCAGGGGAAGGTTTTTTTTTTCTTCAGAAGATAGAGTGTAAGCTTCAGACAATTGTTCATTAATATTAAAAATCCTTATTCACTGCAAAAGACATGCCTTATTTTTTGTGTACGATGCTCTGCGCCTCTCTTTTGCCCTGCAAATTCCACGTTTGATCCCATGGTTGTCCATGTAACCAGATGGCCATAATTCTGCAAGCTGATAAAGACAGATTTCAAAAAGGTTAAAAAGAATAAATATATCTGTTTATAGAATGCAAACAGTTTAACTAAGACATAACATAAACTACACGCTCAGTTCACATGCACATGCATACTATCAAGTGATAAGTAGCATGAATGCTCCTTGAACAAGAGAGTTGTCTATTGGAAGGAATAGAATTGACACTCACGGGGAATTTCCGGACGTGAGTACTTCTCACACCAATAAATTCTTAAAATAAATTGGGAGACATTTTTGAGAAGGCGTTAAGAAAACAAATTTAATGAAAGCAAGTGAAGAATTCAAAAAACCATGTTTAAGTTTCTGTCATCAGCCAGAAAACCCAAGACAAGGCAACCCCGTAGAACTGCTAGATCAAAATTGCAAATACGTTTTAAAAACTTGACCTACCTCGGCATATAACTTTCTGATCTGTGGACCTGCATTTTCATCCAAGCCCTACAGCCGTTGCAAGCATGGTTCAATTAAGTTTTATCACAGAACAGAAATTTCACAATAAGTATCTGTAACTCAAAACGTACATCAACAAAAATATCATAGAGATCACAAATCTTGTCCTCCAAAGCGGCGTCCATACTAACACTCCTTTTAGTTATTGCTTTTCCATCAGGACCAAATTCTTGAACATCACCTGATGCTCCAGCTTTCTGCTGTTGCTTAAAAAAAATACCATACATCCCAGGTTAAATAACCAAAACATTCATTAAGCAAAAATATTTCTGAAAAAAGGTTATCCAATAGTGGAAACATTAAAAGATAAAGAAAGGAAATGTGATCAGGTTTCAAATTACAAGAAGCAATGGAAATAATTCATTGATACCATATTTAGTGTTTGCACTGCAAAAACAAAATCGCATTGGACCCATTAACAGAAGCACCCAATAGAAAGAATGGCAGAAAATAGACTGTAATTGTACTAGCTTATCTTGAGGAAATAATCATTTTCTTTCCCCTGATACAACGACCAATTGATATGTGCTATCTCGTGCAGTAATTTTGGAGGTATTACGTGCTCATCAAAATTGAACATGAATTAAAAGTAAGCGCGTTGAAGTCTGTCTACCAATCTTTAATAGGGTTATAACAAGGGCAACTAAAATAAACCTTGGATTCCAAAGCTGGCGCCTGCATCTTAATCATATCAACAACTTCCTTTTTTATCCGTTGAAACCTATCATCATCCTCCTGCTTTGCTGACAGGCCCATATTGATCATTATTTTTAAGTTTCTCTGCCATAGGAAAACATTGTATGAGAAGGTTTGTAGTTTTAGGAATTAAGAGAACCTAAATATATCAAACATACAATCAATAGAAACAATGAATAACAGCTAGAGAAACTACTTAATATAACAGTAACATCCAAAATATCCAAGGTAAATTAGAGGTGGGATTTTATTCCTTAAAAAAGACAATTTTTAGTGACATGAAAATTTGCAAAAAATATTACAACTTACTGTCTGATAATAATGCCATAGGCATAACCTCATAGCCACATCATATTGAAGTATTCAAAACAGACGGAAAATTTAAGCATTCTTTCCAGAAAGTCTCCACAACCTAAACTAAGCATGCATTTGATTATGTCAAGAATGTATTACTGAAACTGAAAGCATATCTCTATTATTTTCAAGTCACATTCTAGCAACAAAGTCACTCAGTCCATAATCAAAATTAAGAATGCATGTGATTAGGTCAAGAATGTTCTAATCAAAGCCTATTTCCATTATTCTAAAATCACATTCCAACAATTAAACTAAAAAAGTTGTAAATAATGCAGCAACTCTGGACAGGGGATTTCAGAGAAAAACAGGCATGCTCAATTTTAAGCACCAATAATTTTTGGACTGCAATAGTATATATCAGCTGGAAGAGGGGCAGGGGGAGACAGAAGTCGGAATTGGGAACAACTGAGACTGAAGGGTTATCTGTTTATATTTAACATATGCAATACCTTTAATGTTCTGAGTTGCATTAAGTGCCCAAGAATACTCATAAGGCGGTTAATCAACTCTTTTGATACTTTCCCATGGCTTGCCTGTTTCAACAAAAAACATTCAATTAATCTTATAAAGTTCAAATCCCTTGAGAAAAAGAATGTGTGTGTGTAAATATATCCTTGGAAACATGAAATTTAGAAAGCATCATTTGCCAGTACCGCTAGTCTAGCCACTTTAGCAAGCTTTAGCTTTATTTCCCTAGGCAACCTCCTTTTAACTGCCTGGGATGTATTATCGGCCTCCGGGTCCGCTGCAGGGGGCCTTGCTGCAATATTATTCAAAATGCACAAAAAGAAGAAAAGAAAGGCAAAAAAAAAATAGTGTTAGCAACAAACTTCCTACATTTATCTGTGCGTGAAATATCAAGTTTGAAACTTACACTCTGCAACCATTTTCTCTAACTCGCACAGAGTCTTCTCAAGCATTGAAGATTTTGGCCTAGCGCTAGACCCATCTTTCCTGTGCATGTATTCAGATTTCTGCATAATATTAAAATAAACCCATTACTCAGACAGGAAGTAATACTACAAATATAGTTTAATGCACAACTTTCATCATCATTGTTCAAATTACATGGAACAGGTAAAATATATAGTTTACCAAGAGTACGACACAAGGATAGTTTACTTAGCCCTTTCCATTATTTTTAAATATAACACACCTGCTACAGTGTCTTTCAGTTCAGTATCCTTAATATTAAGTGGCTATCATTTTAAATGAAACACCATGTGATTGTTGTCATACGTGCAAATGCAAAAAGGAAATGAAGTCAGCAATGCATATTCTTTTTCTTTATTAATTGGCTCATTGTTGGGGTAACCCTTCAGTGTCAGAGTAGAACTATACCCCAACGACAACACAAAGTGGTTTTGCAAAAGACAAAATAGTATTTGGAAGACAGTTCCTGGAAGCATGATGGGGCCCTTATGATCTGAGACTAAGAGTAGGAGAGCCCTTTTGTTTAATACCAAAAGGAATTGATAAAAGAACCACAATGCAGAGGACCTCTTTTATTGGTATTATTTTTAGGTATTTATCAAATCAAATTTGAAAAAAAAAATACAAAAAGCAAATGAAATTAAAACTTACAGCTGCTTTAGTAGCAGACTTTCCCACAGTCAGGTTAAGATCCGGAAGTTGACGCATACCATTTTTTTCTTTCAACCGACTGCTATTTTCTAAATTATCAATACTCTTCGAGGGTCTTCCAGGTTGGGATTTGGATTGTACATAAGCACCTTTTTCATGGTACTTTTGATGAGATACATCAAATGATTCACTTGTGTTCTTAGATTGAAAAGTTCCTATCTTCTTATCAGCATCTTTGGTTTCTGACATGGCAGCAGGGACATCATCACTTGATGTTTTCAAAGAGACAGAAGAGACTAATATGGGTTTAGTATCAGCAATTTTCTTTTTGGAACTAACTCCATAGATATCTGATTGATTATGAATTTTCAAGTCTTCATAGTGTTCATTGGGTACAGCCAAATTCTGTGAGGAATTACACACATTCCTTGCCTGTATGGAAGTTGTTTTCCCAGATGCTGCCTTGCCCACTTTTATATGTTTATTTGATCCATGGTCATTAACATTTTCACCTGGATTCTTCACTATATCTTTTCTGCGCCTTTTCTTTGGTTGTTGATTGGGTATTACAGGAGGCTCATCACTTGTAATATAGAAAGAAACAACAGAAAATCAACAATAACAATTCATAATTGTAAGACTCAATTTTTTTACTAAAATCTTCAACTAAATAATTCATGAAATATGTATAAAATTTGTAGACAAGTGTCGAGGAAAGAGTATTTATCTATGAGCCAAGAAAATTCAAGAACACAAAGAAAGAACATGAAATGCTATTAGTATTTAAGGGTTAACATAAATATATTCTGATCCCTTTAAATTTGGCTAAATTTGACTGTGGTACTTATGAAAATTTTATTCGTTTTCAGCCTCTACGTTTAACAAATTTAGTGTGTTTAGCCGCACCCTCTTATTTACCAGTGACTAAAAGCAAACAATTATGTATTTTTAGGATTAAAAACATATATGAAAACATTTAGGGACCAGAAAATATATCTAACCAATTAGTTAATTATCTAATAACAAAATTTATAAGAATCTGAAAACTGCAAAATGTTACAAGTGATAAAAACTGAGACAACTAAAAAGAGAGAGAATAGCAAGTATTACAAAATGATAACAATAGACCAACCTCAGCAATTAAAAAATATCAACAATTAAGTAATTTGAAAAGAAACTTTTTCGTGAGAAAAAAAAAAGGGAATATTCAAACAGATTTTTGAAACACTATACTTACGTGCGTTCCAATTTCCCCCTATTTACAAAGAATCCGTCATGCTTGACTTTGGAATGATCAACCTGAAAATATTCATCCTGCAGAATGAACAGTTAAATAACATAAAAATAATATATCAGCAGAAAAAAAAATGCCCTAAGGAAAAATGCTATTCCTATATATCCATGTCAAGGAGCATAAATGCTGACCAGCTCAGCGTCGTCTATAAAAGAATCTTCAGTATCATACTGATCATCATCAGGAACATCAGGCAGATCCTCATCATCACTGCTATCCTTACCCTGAAAATGATTTCAAATCTAATTCATTAACATTCAAGAAGCTAAAAGTTAACAAACAATCTCAAGAACAAATCTAATTCATTTAAAACAGTGGTTTAAAGAACAAATCCATGCTTAATCAAAGCATAAAATATCAACCTCAGCAAGCAATATACACATACCATGTAAAGGCGTTCAATCTTCTCTATCACAGCACTGAAACGGTGTGGCTGAGCTTCATCATTTTCCTCAACCTCAACAGGTTGCCCCTAAGAAAGATGCGCATAGACTTGTCAAAATAGTGAAACATTACACCGCACATAAAGCTCACGCAAGATACTGGCAAAGTACATCATAGCATGTTTACAAGTATGCACTAACTACTAAACCTTATATTACATCTTTCTCAAATATTGAAGACTCTATAAAATCACACTCACAGATGGTAAAGTTGTATCACCTAATCTACATATACATCTAATCTCAGAAAATTTCTAATCGTCAACATCCCAATGCTCACAGATGCAAATGTGCATTGAAGAATACCATATTTGAGTACTCTAACTAGATCCTTTTACATCTATGCAACGAGAATAACACAAACACCGATCAAAACAATAAAATTTAGGTCAAAACCCTTAGAAACCCAAATTTCGATCAAAAAACCACACTCCACTCCAATGCAAAACATTGCAACAGCAAAAACTGAAAATACTTCATCTATAGATACAAATCAACAATGCACACGGAAATCAAATCCAGAAGGAAGCACAGTAAAATTCTAAAAACCTCACCGGAAAAGCCTCCGGCCGTGAGTGTTGAGATGTGGAAGCGGATCCGTTTGACTTGGCGGCGTCTTTCAACAGCTTCTTCCATGATACTATGGTGGTCTCTCCCGGCCGGAGCTCCACCGTAAACAATTGGCGGTCACCTATTTTCACGAACGACGAGGAAGGCTTCTTCTCATCGTTCATCGTAACCGAATATTCTGAAACCGCTATTTCGAGAATTAGGGTGACATAGAGAAAGACGAAATTGAAAATTGGGAGAAACTTGAGTTTAAGCCCTAGATGGAGAAGGAGAAAAAATTGCGCGGGATTGCGAAAATAATTAACGAAAATAATAGAAATTGGAAAATATAAAATTGAAATTTTTTGACACTGTCTCTCTGGTGGTTTTAACTGAAATTCGAGCTAGCTTGTAAAAAATTTCCTGGTTTTTCTTTCCCGAGAAAACACGAGAGGGGAAAGGAAATAAAGCGGGTTGTGTCAATGGACTGGGTTGTACCCGAACCGAATTGAAACCGGGCTTTGTACTTGGTTTAAAATAAATCAAAAAGATAAATTTATAACTTATAAATGTAAGAAAAAGTATAGGCAAAAAGGACAAGGTTGAAAGGGCTGAAGAAAGAAACTCCTGAAGCATATGTTGTTATATATATATATATATATATATATATATATATATATATATATATATATATATATATATATATATATATATATATATATATATATATATATATATATATATATATATATTCTTTATTTTTCCCGTTATGTGGACACGTTTTTAGTTTATTTTACAATATTTGATGTTTTAGTGTTGGAAACTAACATGGGTCATATGATTTAGAGTTGGGGTAATGTTAGAAGTGATTAAAATGAAGGTAAGAGATTTGGGAAGGAACGCGACTAAAGTGTATATTCTGACATGGTTGAATTTCATATTACGAGTTGGATTGAATAGTTAGAATGTCCATGGTATTATTTAGTTTGTATGTTTGTTTAAAATTGTTTTATATGTTTATGGTTTGATTTAATTCAATTTTCAAAAAATTTAACATCTAAATAAATCAAAAATATATAAATTAATTTGGATTAAATTTATATATTTTTGGGTAAAGATCAACCCAAACCAGTCAAAGAAACAATGAATTGAGTTAATTTTATTTAAGTTGAATTGATTGAGTATATTAAAAATAAATGTGAACAAATATATATAAAATAATAATTTATTTACATCAAATAATTTTTTTAAATATAATGTGTTATACATCGGTCAAATATCAAAACGAGCTAAGGCTCAATAAATGTCAATACACACTCTAAATTATCCAATATATAAAAGTCATCTCACCCGAAATACAATGTACATTTTCTTATCTTCATTTTTCACTACACTCGTCTTGAATCTTCAACTGACTTGGACGTTGGAGTGTTAATCTTGCAGGTCCACTCCTGTGTCACCATCTCGGACATCGGCACTACTAGTTCAATATTCCTTATCAACCGCTTACAGGGCAGAATAGTGGCATCGTCTATGGAAATTGACTGCTAATTCTCACGAGAATTCCACGAATGAATCATCATATATCCAAACTTAAATCCTTACCAAAATCACCGAAGAATTAAGGCTTAAGATTGCACCCAAAGTCACCGATGAACCTTCAGACTTCACATCACCTAATTATTAGTCACCAACGTAATATTTACTGTAACAACTTCGAAGGTGCGGAAAATTTGTAACTTTTGACGTAAATATGCTACTAATGTATCTTCTTCATGCGGCTAAGAATCTTTGAACGGTAAACAGAGATCATGTCGTATTAGAATTCGTAGATCGCGAAAAAATAAACTGAATTCTAAACGTAAAGTTACCAACAATTTAGGTGATAACTACCATGAGTTACGCGATATTCCGTTGTGGCACGAAACGTTAGACATTCTGATTTTACTCTACCACATCTTATTATCACCACCGACATATGTATCATTATTATAATTAGTAGTGATTCGTTGTTAGTGTCGCACCTCAGAAAAATCACGGAGACATTTTAGAGAAACGATCCTCGCGCGAAAGGCGCGGAAATGCGGTTCGACAGAGTCGCCACCGAGCTTTATTTTTCCCAAATAAACGGGAGAGGAAAATATCGAGAAAACCTCTTAAAGCAAAAGGATAGGAACAGGGCTGTCACAACCAAGTTCCGGGTTCGGGAGTCGGTTACGTGAGGGGAAGGTATTAGCACCTCTCACGTCTGTCGTACTCGACGGGAACCTCTTAAGGTAAATGTGGGGAGTGTTGTTTAGGTTTACTTGTTTTCTTCTCGTTGTTAAAGGTAGAATTGGTAGGTTAAAAGGTTAAAGACGCAAAGGAGAGATATGTGGTTAGAGGATAGGGTGCTCGCCAAGGATTGTGGCCCTTGTGCCTACGTATGCTCATTCGGACGAGAATGAGAAATCAGAGCGTCGTAGTTCGACTACGGGAAAGGATGGGGGGAAACAGAAGATGGATAGAAGTGTGCTCGCCAAGATCATCGCAATCCTGTGCCTACGTATCTTATATTCAAGCATGAATAAAGAATCAGAGCGTCTGTAGTTCGTGGTAACAACCACGAAAAGGATACTGGGAAATGGGAGGATGGATAGAAGGTAGCTCGCCAAGATCATCGCAATCTTGTGCCTACGTATCTTATATTCGGACGAGAATGAAGAATCAGAGTAGTCGTAGTTCGTGGTAACGACCACGAAAAGAAACAGGATTGAATTGGGTTAAAGTTGAGTTTGAGACGAAAGAGTGACTGACAAGTAACCCAAGAGCGTGCCTCAAGAGCTTGTCACTCAAAAATTCAAGAAATGCGAGATTTCAAGAACTCGGTTCTTTCGGAAATTGACTGAATAGGTTGAAGATAAAGAGTTGAATGTTTTGAAATCGAAAGAATGAACTAATAACAAATCAAGGGCGCGCCTCGAGAATTACACATTCGAATATTCAAAGAATGCTAGATTCTAAGAATATCCCTCTTTCGTAAATTTAAAAAAAAAAGTGTTTTGTAAGAAGATTGAGTCGAAAGTGGAATGCGAGGCAAAAGGAAGTTGGTTTGAAAATGGTTCGACGACGAGTCGAGGAATTGATTAGAAGATAGAACCGACTTGACGACGTGTCAAGGGCTAAGATGATGAGAAACGATATTAGTCCCTAAGGGTGCCCCTAATATCGAGACCAAGAGGAGTTGTGAAGTGTGTGCGAAATGTCGACGATTGCGAATGCGTACGAGCACTCGACTTAGGGGAATGTTTGAAAATGCTTGAAAAAGTTGAAAGATTGAGTGAATAATAACTCAAGAGTGTGCCTCACAAATTATTCACTCGAAGATCCAAGGAATACTAGATTCCAAGAACCTCCTTCTTTCGGAGTTTTAATCGAGAAAATGTTTTGAAGAAAAAAGTCGAAAGATTGAATGAATAACAACTCAAGAGCGTGCTTCGAGAATTATTCACTCGAAGATTCAAGGAATGCTAGATTCCAAGAACCTCCTTCTTTCGGAGTTTAAATTGAGAAAAATGTTGAGAAAATGATTTGAATCGAATCGAGGAGTATGAAAAGAGTTTGTGGTATGATATGACAATAATAATATGTCAAGATAATATAACAATAATATTCACAATAATATTTAACGAAAATTAAAGTTATTGGTTAGTTTAGTGAATCGAATCGGGACGCGAAGGGATGGGATCTCGTCTTAATCGCAAACATAATGCCGATTAATCGAAGGTAGTCTATCACGATCCCAAAGTACGAAAAATGACCCCAATGGTCATTCGCCATAGATTTGAAATCGAGAAGGTTATCAACTTCGATACGCGACGCTTATGAATAAAAGACTTCATCGATCGAAATAAAATCGAAAGAAAATCGAAAGAGGAAAGTGGTCTCGGATCTTTTGTTTCACGCCAATAATTTGACGGTTAAACGTTGGTAATCTCGTCATCGACCTAAACGGCGAAAAATGCCTAATAACAAATGTGAAATAAAATGTAATTCTAAAATAGAAAATATAAGCTACAAAAAACTCTAAGGAAATATTAAGAAGAAATAATAATATACATAATTAAAAGAAATTAAATATACAAAAAAGTATATACAAACTCTAAAATAAAAATAATATACATAATATTTTAAAGAAGAGTTTAAAGTATAACATATACAATTTAAAACTAATATTTACAACAACAAAAAAAACAGAAATATAAAATAATAATAATATTAATAATATTAACATAATCTTAATAATATTTACATTAAAGATAAAAGGGATGGGGAAATATGAACAAGGCGGGTGTATGGATCGGATGGGCTAAAAGCCCATTATCACCAAATCTTAAAAAAAAAAGAAAAAAAAAAGAAAAAAAAGAAATAAAATAAACAGTAAAAAGAAAAAGCGAAAGATCATCCTCTTCGTCACTCTCACTCGCTCTCAGTTTTCTCTCTCAACAAATTCATCGATTCTTTTTCACTTGAAAGTTTCACAAAACAACATCACTTCCTTCTTTTCAATCCAAAATCATTATGTCATATCTCTCTCTGGTACCAAACCGAAATCGCTGTTTGTGTTATGAGCTTCGGGTTTGAGATTGGAAATGGAAGACGGTGAGTTGGATGATGGGTTGTTGAAAGAGGGGTTAAGGGAGACATTGGGAGGTGAGCGATCGGGTTGCGTAATGGGTTTTCTGTGAACACGGTTGTTGTTGGTTGTTGTTTTCTGATGGATTTTCCAAAAGAGGGATATGGGTTACCGGCGGGTTTCGAAAACGGGTTTGAATGCTTGAGGTTGGAGGTGGCGTTTTACTGGGTTATGAAGTTTGGGGCGTTTTATTGGGTTATGAAGTTTGTTTGTGTTTTCTGGGTTTGTGTTTTGGATGTGTGTATTGTTGAAAACGTGGTGTTTGTGGTGACAGAAAATTAGTTGAAAGTTTTATTTGAGTTTTGAAGCTTATCTGAGTTTTTCACAGAGGAGTTTGGACGATGAAGTTTATGAGGAAGATGAAGAATGAGTTGAACATTGAAGGTTTAATGGAATTTTCTGGGTGATGATGACAATGGCTGGAGGAAGGGGGCGGATGAACAACAGATTAGGGTTCCAAGCTTATGTCTAGGGTTGCCTCCCTTTGGAAGTATGGTTGGAGGCTGAAGG